GATGGCTTGAGCCCAGGAGTTTAGGTTCCAGTGAGCTGTGATGACATCACTGTACTCTAGCCCAGGAGCCAGAGAGAGACCCTGCCTCAAAAAAACAAACAAATGAAAATAAAAATAAGATTGTGGAACCAAAAGCCGGTAGGGACGGTAGTGAAAGTAGATAGTATAAAAGAGAACAAACTTTAGAAAGAATTGAATCCTAAGTAATGTTTTAAACTGAGATAATTATCAATTAAGAAACTGAATCTAGGGTGGCACCTGTGGCTCAAGGAGTAGGGCACTGGCCCCATATACCGGAGGTGGCAGGTTCAAACCCAGCCTCAACCAAAAACTGAAAAAAAAAAAAGAAAAGAAACTGAATCTTTGTATTTCAGTACAGGCAGCCCCAAAGCCAAGAGTGTGCCTTAGCCTTGAAGCAGACAATGTCTGTCATTATCTGCGGCTACCTGTGGCAGGAATCCCCTGCGTGGCCATCAGCCCCTCTGCACAGGCCAGATGTTGCCAAGCAACAGTTACCCAAGGGTCAGCCCTTTACCCAGGCAGGAAGGCCACACCTGTATGGAGGCCATGGTTTGCAAGAGTAGAGAACTTTGTCAGAGGGGAAAACTGTCTAGCAGGGGACATGTCTTGCTATTGCTGGAGGAGGCCAACAGCGTGTCTTATCACGTCAGGGGAAAAATCCTAATCCATCTGTCTGATGAAGTAGCTTTGGCTGGTGGCGATATTTAGCAGTTGGGCTGCAGGGAGCAGCTTAGTCCAAATATAGACTGTTTAGCTGACCTTCTTAGCTCAGATTAGAGGGAAACGCCAATAAGGTAGTGGATATGGGTTAGCCCTTCGTGAGCTAGTCAACTTTGCTGAGAAAATGCCTATTCCACAACCACAGCTGCACTCCCTACACCAGCAGGCACCACAGCTCACAGGGAAAAGCAAGGCCAGCGCTCTCGGGAGCCCCCACATCATCCCCTTGTCACGCCCCAAGCTCATCTTGTGCTTGCCATCCCCTTACCATGACACCGGCCATTCTTCCACCTTGGAAGTTCTCTCCAATTCCTTCAACTGGTAAAATCCTATTCAATTACCCTCTTCTGCAAAGCCTTCTCAAAGCCCTCAGCTGAGAGTGTTGAGCCCTTCCCTTTGAGCCTATTTGATGTCTTTACCTTTTCAGTGGTGCGTCAGACACCCCAGACATAAACTTTTTGTAGACATGTGCTCTCTCCACCAAAAGCCACATGCTCTGGGATTTATAATGTTCTGTGTCCGGTCTGCAGTCCAATGCCATCCTTGCAGCAGCCCTCATTCATGGGTCTTGCTCGCAGTGTTTCTTGTTGGCAGGTCCATAGTGCCATCTCCACATGAAGGATGTGTGTGGAGAGGAGCTAGAGAGAGATGATAGAGCTACAGAAAGAGACCGAGGAGATAGAGGTTTGTTATGAGGAACTGGCTTGCTTGATGAAGGAGGCTGAGCCATCCCATGTTCTGCCATCTGCAAGCTGGAGACCCAGGAGAACTGGGAGTATAATTCAGACTGAGTCCGAAGGCCTGAGAGCCTAGGGAAGTGATGGTGTAAATCCCAGCCCAAGGGCAAGAGAAGATGAGCTGCTTCCCCCGCCTTCTGTTCCATTCAGGGCTGGAGGTTGTCTGTCCACACTAGGGAGGGCCACCTGCCTTAGTCCACCACTGACAATGCTCACCTCATCCAGAAACACCCTCACAGACACACAGAACCAGTGTTTAATGTGGACACTCAAGTTAGCACATAAAATTAACCATCACGAGTACTTACAAACAGTAGTATTTATGGCAATGATTCGTCAGCCTGAAGCTATTAAGAGTTGTGTGCCAAGATCAGACAGCCTGCCAGAGCTCAGGTGCTGAGAAGAGATGTGAAATGATACAAAAGGCTCCTGACCTTGAAAAGTTTCTGCTTTAGTAGAGAGAACACGTAAACCACCTGGAATGGTACAGAATACGCTGTGTGGCTGGGCCGCATTTTCTGGCATTGTGGATGATTTACACAACTCCCCATGAGAGAATGTTACAGATGAATGAAGTTTACACGCCAGGTATACAAGCTTGCCATTGATCACTTTTTTAGGTTTTGGTCTTCTTCAAAGGTTTTATAATTTCCTTGGCCCTTAAACAGAAGTTATTGAATATAAATTAACTTCTTCCCTGGAGCCTTCAAAATTTCCAGGGGGAAAAAACATTCCTCACTCAGAGCAGCCAGCGTGAACTAGACCATCAGCACAGCTAAGTAACTTGAGTGCTGGTTGAACAGCTGAACATAAAGCATCTTGAGTAACAGTGTTGGCATCAGACTGCAGCGAGATCTCAGATGAAAACGTAAAGGCATGTTGACAGACTGCAGGTGAGCTCGCTGATGTCTGGTGGCAGAACCAACATGAACAGGGCGAGGCAAGGGACTGAAATTGACAAAAGGAAGTTTAATAAGGGTAAAGGCGGGTAGCTCATGTAAAAAGACCCTTGGCTTCTACATGCAGGCTCAGTCTGAGTCATCTATCAGACCAATGTGGCTGCCAAAATTCCCAGCGTTTACCATATGCCAGGCACCAGGGGAGTCATTTCCATGCATTGTATCATTTAATCCTCTGTGAAGCAGCTGTCATTTTTATCTTCATTTTACAGAGGAGGAAACTGAAGTTCAGAGAGGTTAAGTAACATACCCAAGGTAACACAGGACTGAGTAGTGGAGCCAGGACTTGAATCTAGGATTGTGTGATTCTAGAACTTGAGCTCTTAATCCCTGGGCAGCTCTTAACCCCTGGTCACAATCTTCTGTGGAATTAATAAACAATACGTCCAGAGCATCTATTTCTGGATAAAGAGCTCACCCAGAGGTATATGGCCACCACGATGCCAAAAATCAGAAACCAGAGTCACATGAGAAATGGAGAGAAGATGTAAGGGGGACATGATTTCTCACTCGACATACCAGGCCCAAAGGGCCACACCAGAACCAAAGAAGTCACAGCCCATACGGAGCGCCCCACTGCGGGTCAGGGGAAACTCTGAGATAGATTGCCACATAGGGTCCTGGCAATTTGAGGGCCACATAGGGCCCTGGAAGTTTGAGGGCCACACCAGGCATGTTGAAAGTTTGCTTCGTGCCTTGGGAGATGGGTTGGACCCTAAAGTTCCTCTGGTGTTAA